ACAATATAAAAATCTGGAAGTTGATATAGGTAGAACATATATATATATATATATATATATATATATATATATATATATATATATATATATAACCTATATGTACACTACATGTCAAAAGTTCAGCATTAATTGATCTTCATTTATTACAACCAGGAAAAGTTCAGCATTGATCCTCTAGCTGAACCATGGGTGATGACGTCATTTAGCAAGAAATGGAAGGATTTCAAGTCAGGGCTGAAAGGGAACTGGTTAGTGAATGGTACAAAAGATAATAGAGTATCTCCGGCTGACTGGGAATGGCTGTTGAACTTTTGGAAAAGTGACAAGGCTATGGTATAGTTTTTGTTCATTTGGTCATATCATCTCTAGTTTGTTTTAACTAGCCTTTTTCTTTTTAATTACGAAAGGTTTTAGGTATTTTTATGTTTATTTACAGCATACCTGCATGTAGTACAAGATCTTCGTCATGTATTGAACTTGTTTTCATCATTACAGCATAGAGAAAAAGTAGCAAAAGATAACCGAAGCAAGATGACATCGACACCCACATTGGGATCATCTAGTTATGCTAACAAGAAGGAAGAAATTGTAATGTTTATATTGTATACATTTAAGGCGGTCTCTTTAATATGTATGTTTAATTATATGACTCGTAATTAGTTTGTGGTATACTGTACTCTTCAGAAAGAATCCAGACCAGATAAGTCAGAGCCAACTGAGGCTGAGCTTTATGTTGCTGCCCATGTACATCGTGATGGGACTCCATTGACTCCAAAAGTTACAGAGGTCATTGTAAGTATCATGTTAAGTTTGAATTATCTCTTAGTTGTTTAGTCGTACCGAATTCATTGTCAAATGTATTAACCATGTTTTCAGGAGAAAATTGCTGATGGTACGGGATGAGAAGACCCTCTTACACTTGTCTTAGGGGAAAATAAGTGTCATTATCGGCCTAGGACATTTGGATTAGCACCAGCTTGGGGTGTGAGAAACTCTCGCAAGTCAATCATAAAGACGACATTGGAGGTCCAAAGAAATGCAGATGAAAAGGTGGTGAAGGTACAAGAAGATATGAAACAAATGGAAGCTAGACATCAAGATGAAATGAATCTGATGAAAGCAGAACAAGCCAGAATTTTCACTATTCTTGGGAAGATGAATCCAAATGCACTGTTGGATTCAACAAATGAATCGAATACTTCACCTCTTGTTGCTGGAGATGAACCGAGTCTGGTAAATTTCATAATGCATCTACTTAAATAATATGTCCTAGTTTAGTACCTCTATTACATAGATCCATTTATACTTTTACTTTATGTCTCATTTAGGATCACACAAGACATGTGGATGATGAATGCATTCAATATGATGACTCATCCACCCAGGTTAGTTGTCTTCATTCAAAGTACCGCACAATTTAGGCACTGGTCCATTCCTCCCGATGTTACAATCTCCGCCTAGAAGAGTCGAGACTACGCCAAAAAATGTAAGCACGTATATACAAGAACCTGTTTTTCTCTTTGTAGACTTAGCTTCCCATTGGCCAACAATTTTTCTAAGTTGGATTGGGATGCTTTATGTTAGTAAGCTTACTCTTTTAGTGAAAAGGAGTTCTCTCTTCGGTGACTTCGCTACGAACAAGTGTCATTATTTCTCACTTTTGTCTTGCCTTCCGCTTTCTCTGCTTCTTCCTTTTGCAAATATGGTCTGCTCTTGTTTTACTATCTTATTATAGTGTTGTTTGTCTACACAGCTCTTTGCATGGCCTCTGTTTGTCTATGCAACTCTGCTTCTTCCTGAAGTTCACTCTTCTGTTTCTTTGCATGGTCTATGCTCTTGTTTTGCCATCTTATTAGGCTTTGCTGTCTTATTCTGGAATTCTCTCTTCTATTTCTTTGCGTGATATATGCTCTTGTTTTGCGTTATTAAATAAATTATTTGTTTTGTTAGTCTCAGGTCCTGCCAAATGTGATTCTCGAGACATATATACCCCAGTATCGTGCTTTAGCTTCAAATGGGAGTACTTCTCGAAAAGACAGTTGCTTGCAAAAGGTATATATAATGTTTAAATTCTATAGAGGTTTATTTGTGCAAGTGAACTCAATTCATTTGTTTACATGTATAGGTACAGAATAGGATTGATAGTCGTACTAATTCACCGCTGCATCCCTCTCCATCGGTTCCAAATGCACTTTCCATAGGAAGATCAATGGGAATGCCAGATGTTGGTGGAGTGCGCATTTCTGAAGTAAGACTAGTTAGTAATTGTATTTTGTCCTTTTTTTAAGTTTTTCCATGAGAACCAAACCAAATTAATCATGCACTACTTACATTTTACAGAATTTGATTTCATCTCAAGGGAATGAGTTTGACCATAATGATGGTGGATTTGTTGATCCTTATAGCCAGGTAATGTACATTATCTTTAGCCTATAAATTTGAAGAGAAGAGTTTGTCATAAATCTACCTATAATGCACAAGACACAGCCACCAAGGGCCGACCGTGCTGCAACCCCATTCTTCCCCATTATGTGTTCATTTATTTTGAGTTATGCCTTACATCATTAATTGATATTGATATCGTTGTTATATAGCACCTAAACTTGTTTTTTTCTCCTTCAACTCTGATTAGTTCCGTAGCAAACTTTAGAAATTGTTTCAAGTTTTTCTTCTTTTCATATTTGATACTGATTTTGTGGTGTTTTACTTACAAGTACTAAATGATACTTCTTTACATATACAGGGATTAACATATGTGTTATTGAAGAGTTTACGGAGTCCTGGTGTTGATGTAGCTAGAGCCGGTGTGTGCATTAAAGATCCAAAGAAATTGGTAGGCGGGGAAGAACTAGGGGCTGGATTTGTTGAGGTATTTATCATAGTACCAATCAAGCGTGATGAGCCTTTAATACGACTATATGGAAGTTATCAGTTTATTGGGGATGTGGTAGCACAAAGTATTGCATGGCCATCTAGTTTTCTAAGTCAATTCGTCTACTATCGCTTGATTCATTGTTACTGTTTTTTCAAATCAATTGGGAACTTAAATTGAAATATGGTTTTAAATGAAGTTTGAATACGTTTGAATACTTCTCCTGCACAAAAGTTCGTGATGAGGGTAGCATTCCACTGCGGGCTCTTTTAGGATTACTTTGGAGAGTTTAAATAACTTGTTCAGGTAGGAGATGAGTAGCATGGATTCAATTTTTAGCTATCCAAATCAGGAATTCACAAATCCAATCCAGTTATCACCTCAACAAGTAATAGAGGGGGAGCTCACAGCAGAACTCCATAGTGAAGCGTTTTTAGTGATTTACTACGCGGGTCGTTTAAGCAGCATGCATATTACTTGAATGAATCTAGGGTCCTCGCGTCGTTTATGCACCAACTTCATCTTCACGTCAGTCCATCCATGATTGATATGGGCTAATGGGAGGCAAGAATTAGGGTCCTCAAAGTCAAATCCATCGACCCATTCACTTGGCAAAGGTCAGAGCTCAGGAAAGCATGCTGGCTGAACTGGAGAAAAAGCCACCCCTATAACATTTACCCTTCATCATGGTTGGTATCTTAATCACTATTGGGTAAGGGTGTCCAACGGTTTTGTCTATATCGGACTGTATCGGTTCAAATTGTTGTTTGCACCGGATCATACCAAATCGAGTATAATGTGATCCGGTCTCTTGTCTCATGAATTTTGTAAGTATGAAAGAAAAATAGACCGAATTGACTTATGGACCAGACCAAACTGCATCAAATCGGACTGAAACAATGTCGGTCCTCTCCTTGATCCTAAAATATCTTTCACGCAGTTCTCATGAGTTTGCACATTCCTGATTTTGGGCGCGCTGATAGTACACCACCCGGGTCCCGAGTACGTACCAAATGTTGAAATGTTTGAAGATAACCTTGAATTTGTAAATCCTTGAATCTACATCTCCTAAGTAACTGCAATCCCAAACTCTGAGAAAGAAACTGTACAAGCTCACTGATGTATACATGCCGAAACCTCTATTGTAGTAGAGTAGACATCATGCATCAGTTTGGTTAGCAACAACTGCGTCCATCTAACATTTGAGATGTAAATGCCACATTTGGTCACTGAGATTACTAAATCGTGTTATGTTTAGTCACTAAAAAAAACTAATATCAACTTTGGTCACTCAAATTAGTGAAACATGTCACATTTAGTCACTCTCCAACTCCAATGGAGTTGGACGGAGGCTAACGGAGAGTGACTAAATGTGACATGTTTCAGTAATTCGAGTGACATTCATAAAAGAAAAAGTCATTCGAGTGACCGGAGTTGGACGGAGGCTAACGGGAGAGTGACTAAATGTGACCTGTTTTAGTCATTCGAGCGACCAAAATTGATATTAATTTTTTTTATTGACTAAACATGACATGATTTAGTAATCTTAGTGACCAAATGTATCATTTACTCTTACAATAACTGTTTTATCCGCTGACATATGGCGGGCTACAATAGTGACCGAGTCATATTGAGTATGAAGGAATGAGATTTTGTTGGACTTGGACAAATTGCATTATGTGGACTTGGGCATAGATAGAAGGGCCACTTAGGGCATGTGAAGTTGTGGATGGTGGCGGCTAAGTCTCTTCTCTTGCATTTAGAAGAGTTGGAGGAATGGGAGGGACAAATCCGAGGTGACATTAATCTAAATCTCAATGAATCGTGACAACAATACCACTTTGCCACTTAGGGGTTATTTAGAAGTTGTGATTTTTCAAATTAATGTATTGAGTCAATTAGTATATTGTCATTTGATATATTGAATCAATTAGTGCATTAGACAAATACCTTGTTTGAAGGTTTAGATTTTGTATCTGTTGTAAGGCCACAAAAGTTAATTTTGAGTGATAATAAAGAATCCCAACAAAAAGTAGAGATTGATGATCCCTCAATTTTGCTTGATTATAGTGAGGCCTTCAAAAAGTTAATACATGCATTCTATTTCAATATATAAAAAAACAACTTAATTTTACAAATAAATAAATTAACTCAATACATCATCGGAAAACACAACTTCCGAATTTCTGAAACTTCCTGCTCCATAAAATAATTGGGGTTAAAGGCAAGAGATGCTTATTCCGAACATGGTTATAAAACTAATGAAGGGCATTCACCTGTAAAATCACATGCGCTACTACTGAGAGGACAGAATACGAAAGCAGTTAATACTAGACAGAACAAAAGGGTACAACAAACACGATCATGGTCATCACTCATCACCTAGAATTAAACCCCACAATTGTTCTGCTTCAATTAAAACGAAAAGGAAAACCTACAAACGCTCTCATTCTTTTGCACAGGGGAAATAACAATTAGTCCTTAACCAACCCTAAACTCTCACTTAATCTACAGCCCTACATGGTGTACTTTCTGCTTCCTGTCTTGAGGGGGAGGGGTTAGAAAACTCCTTACACAAGTCTGCGGCGGAGGGATCGACTCACTCACTGACGATAATCACATTCACTTCCCTTTTCACATTGCCAAAGAATACATCGACAATCTTCCTAACTCTCGCCAACCGCAGCCTCCGCATCGAGATCAAGATCATGCAGGTTAAACGACACGATCTCCTCCTTCAGTTCCTGCTCAATGTCTATTTTCGCAAGCTTCTCCAGCTCTGCAACAGCCTTGACCACTTTTTCGGGAGCATCGTTGCTCAGCATTGGCCTCAGCACGCCAGCAACATCCTTGACCCGTGATTGCTGCAAAGGGGGACACACGTTGGTTTAGGATTTCGAGCTAGGGGAAACAAGCTTACTAAGAAAGTATAAGATAAAAACGACTATTTTCCACTTACAAAGAACACGAGTTTCCTCCTGAATTCTGCTTCGCCTAGTGCATCTGATTCATCCGTGTACTAGTTCCGCAGAAGACCAAAGCAGAAGTGAAAGTTAAGTTCAGTACCAGCAAGAAAGAAAAAAAGCATCCAATAAAACATAAGACAGCTCAAAAGAAAAGCCTTTAGGAGAGCACATCTAAGAATCAGTATTTCCAAAAAGCTTCGACTTAGCAGGCATTGTAAATAGACAAAATTATGTGTCCATTCCAGATTAATACTATGACTAAGAATGCAATGAAGCTTAAACACCGACCATTGACAAAAATCGGGCTTCAGATTAACCTTTCAAAATTATCCAAGTGGATGGAGTAAAGAAATTGTTTTGCCAGAAATAAGCTTTTCCCTCCATAACTCACTTAAAATAGAGTCCCATTGCACAAGCACGTAGTGAGAAAATATATGCAAACTAGGATCAGAAATCAAATACCTTTCATGCGAGTTGCTATAAACTGAAAACGGTCAGCATACATGAGCCAATTTTAACGGACAGCAAATTCAGTTTTTAGTTACAATTTAATACCTAAAATTTCTCAGTTTTCTGCTGCACAAGAACTCAAGAAGAATTAAGGATGCAAATATATCAATATTTTTCAAAGTTCTATGGACTGGACATTGAAAATTATATCCAGATTCAGGGGGAAAGTTCTAGTTCAAAGATTAAGAAATATCTGATTTCAAGCTATCAAAATGCCAAGAACTCAGATTTTGACGGTAAAAGAGACTCGCGAAAAGATAGATGTTACAATTGCAATGCAAGGTACAAATCTAATAGAATGAATTATCCAATTCCTCGAAGAAGCAAGAACGGGAAAATAACTTATCAGTTGCACAAAATTACTAGTTTGAACAACAAAACTATGTTGATGACAGTTTACTGCACTTCTAAAAGCACTTTGAAAATAAAGCACACTCTTAATCTTCATTTTACTCTTGAAAAGCTTCAACAGATCACTTATGGTAGTAATTAATCTGGCAGATTAAACCATCAGGTGGGTTCCGCCAAGATAAGGGGAAGTCTTAATGTTTCTAATTTCAAAAACCAAGTGACCAACTTGAGTTATAAAGAGCATTCTAATAAGCATCTTCTCATCATTGCCACACCAAAGAGGATAAACAGCATGTTAAGAAATCTTTCTTACGTCTAAATGCATGAACAATTAATGCTCATTAATAAAAACAGAAGCTGCCCCCAATTAAAACAACAAAGCTTGATATCTAATCTGTTACAAAAAAATCTGGTGCCGAGGAGTTACAATTGGAACAAAAATATCATATTTATTGCACACCAAGAAAAGAAAATTGAATTTAAAGCAATTGGACACACAACAATTCATTTGAATAAGCTCCAGAATACTATCAGCAATTCAATCAAGCATACTAGCAAAATTAGGAATTCAGTGCATTCGCCTAGTATTCAGCATTGTATATATGTTAAATATCATAATTCCAGCTTATATTTGTTCAACCCATTCAATTTTAAGAAAAATTTTGGATGTACGGTTCACAAACAATTAACAGATAAAAAAACATGCAAAAAAATAAAAGGTTGTGAAATTGCTTCCGGGGGAGGGGGGAAAATTGTAGACAACTACCTTCTTTGGGTGACCAACTGGCCTCCCGCTCCTCCTGGGCTCCAAGACACCATCATTTAGTCCAAGCACTCCAACACCAACACCTGCAGCAATAGAGCCAGTACCCTTCCTTGGCCTACCCCTTGGCCTCGGCACACTGAGAGGCGCCGCTGCTTCAATGCTAGCATAAGGAACTGCAACCGAATTCGCCTGGTTCTTAGGCGGGCGACCAGGGCGCCTCTTAGCACCAGACACAGCTGCGACAGTTTTAGGTTTCGGCTTCCTGGGCCTCCCGGGACTTCTCTTCTTCGTCCCGAGACCCAAAACGCTCTTGGGTGGCCTCCCTCTGCCCCTCTTCACAATCCCAACCCCACTAGTATCAACCCCCAGTGGCTTCTTAGGAGGACGCCCTGGCCTTCTCTTAGCAGTAGCAGTAGCAGTACCATCTTCCGCCGCCAGTCCGACAGGCACCGTGACAGGCTGAGTCGCTCCGTGGACACCTTCCTCCACATTAACATTAACGTCGACTCCAGAGGAAGGGTAGTGCCCTGTCGCCGGCTGGCCGTTGGCGACGAAGCCCGGCGGCAGAGAATCACTCACCGGCTGAGCAACCTGGCCGTTGGGTAGTAAAGTTTCAACAGTAGGCTGTGGGGCAGTTGTGGGCTTGGCCTTTGGAGGCCTGCCACGGCCTCTTTTAGGCCCAACAGAAGGAGGAGAAAGCGGGCCTTGCGTCGGCGGGGGCGGTTGAAGGGAAGAATCGAGAGTAAGGTCTGGGAGGTCGTTGATGTTGGCGGTGACACCACCAGATCCGCTTATCTTGTAAGATTTTTTCACCATGTCGAGCAGCCCTTTGCTCTTCAGAAGCTTCAATTGGTTAGCCAACAGGTCCCCGTAGTTCGGCGGAAGTAGCCCATGATAAGCATGGTCGATGTACTTCGATATCGCCCTCTTGCTTGACCCGTCGCGTTCTTTCAACGCCTCAATCGCCGTGAAAATCATCTAACAACAACACCCAAACCAAACAAATTTTAAAAACAAAAGCTAAAAAAACAGATCAGGGTTTTTGAAATCAAAATTTAAAAATATATATATATATATTGTATTTGCTGTACTTGGGTTTTTGGGTGTAATATTTTCTTTTGTCTTACCTTGGAATAGGAAGGGAGGCTGGAGGGTAATCCACCCGGAGCTTGAGCAGCAGCGGCTGTCGGAGTTGGAGTTGGAGCTGGAGCTGAAGCAGGGGAAGGATCTGTTGGGAGTGCGGTTGCTCCAGCTGGTGGGGCGAAGTTGGGGAAAGACTGCTGGGGAACATAGCTGTGGGGCTGCAGTCCGGCGGCGTGAGGGAAAGTGACGACGGGGTAGGGAGCGGCGGCGACAGTAGCGGTCGGAGTGGGTTGGTCCCACGGCAGGGGAGGGATGTGGTTGTGCAGCGGATCCATTGTTGGAGTTCTTTTTTTCTTTTTTCTAGAGAGAGAAAGGACAAGATAAGAATCGCAGGGGTGGGAGAAGAGAGAGGAAGGAAAGATTTTAATTTCTTTTTTTCCCCAATACACTGAAAAAAGATTAAAATTTATGGAGGAAAATAAAATTAGGGCTAGCTAGTAGCTACAGAGAAAGGGGGGAAAACAACTAATAAAAAGAGAAGCAGCGTTAGGTAGCTGGTAAAGGTGTGGGCGTAAATGAGCGGGGGATAAGGATGCCCCTTGGGTTTTGAGTTAGCGAGATGAAAATCGGACCGTCCAATTACAGATTGAGAGAAGAAAAAAAATGAAAGAGGCGAGGATCGATGACGTGGACAAGCACGCTGTCGTTTAGCCCTTCCACACTTCCCTCCCCTTGGCCAACCGGACCGCAGTCCACTCGCAAAAACAAAATTCGCCGGCGACCGCTACGAGCAGGAGACAAGGCAAGGCAGCAGCCAAAAATCAAAAGACTTCCCTAATTGCGAATGTCTTCAGTAAATTTCTCCCCAACTTTACAACAACAATGAGCAGTGATTAAGTAATAAGATTGGAGGATGGCTTTACTAATGATAGTATGATACTACTCGGTACTTCAGGTTCCGGTACAAGATACATAATAAGTTAATAACCTATAAAATAGGGACTAGTACAATGATATTATGATAACTAGTATCTAAATCGTTCAATTTAAATTTTATTTTGATGTAATGGTTATAACTTATAAATATAAAAGGAGCATACAAGGAAAAGACGAGCACAAAATTAGAGATTCAATTTAATGTTGGTCGACGTGGATGGTGCGCCGGATTTATAGGGATTCCATTTTTCAGACGGTTACTATTCCACTTTTTCTTTTGCATTGGAACCAGTACTAAAGTAATTGAGGAGCGTTGCAAACGGTTACATCTCATTGAAAAAGCAACCAACAAAGCAGATATCATAACATGAATAGGAAGAATAAGCAAAACAAAATTAACTTCACATTAAGGGTCGTTTGAATGTGGAAATTTGAGAATGTGGGAATTGGTCTTAATTTCCACGTTATAGAAAACCTGGGAATTGACTTGTGAAATTTGACCGAAATTCCATGTTTGGAATGAGCTGAAAAGTGTGGAAATTGATAGTGTTGCATTTAATTGAAGTACCAATTTGCCCCTTTACATATGATATGAGCTTCTAACGAACACACAACTTCAAGAATAATCAATCCTAAATTGTTGTTTTCAATCCCCATCTCTCTAATACAGTAATACTAATACAAAGAAGAAAAGCAAAACACTAATCCTACGTCCCATTCCTATCCACTCTAAGCCCTCCACCATATAATCCCCCAATTCTTGGTGCCAACCAATGATAAAGCAGAGGCAGAAGAAGCACAAGAGCAACATCATAGCAGTAGTATAGCCAGAGCAGAAGCAGCAACACAACAACGGGAAAGCAGCAGGAGCACCACAGCATAAGCAGTAGCAGTAGCAGCAGCACAACACAAGTAGACCTTACTAATCGTTTGAATTCTCATAGCAACAGGTAAGGAGAAAGGAAGTGGAAATCAAGAGGCTTCTTCTCTCGCTGACGACTACCAAACAGAGTCGGATTTTGATTCTTCCTCTTTGAGCTTCGCGCCGTTCTTCCTCTTCATGCCACATAACACCCTTCATGAATCTCACGCAGTAGGTCATCCGGGACCTTCTTCCTTCTCTCGTTGGAGACCAACAAACAAGGAGGGAATTCGATTCTTCTTATCTAAGCTCCAAGTCGTTGATTGATCCAGATGCTAGAGTTGTTTCAATTATAATTGAAAAAGAACAAGACGCTACAGTCGATAGTCATGAGGAAAAAGAGGGTTTAGGGATAGAGAAAGGAAGGAGGGAGGGATATAATTGGGATAAATAGAAACAAAACGTGGGAATTGACAATTCTGGGGGGGAGGTGCCGTATTTTTGATTCCCACGAATGTGGGTTTTCTGTTCAATTACCACGTCCAATTACCACATCATTTTTTCTTATCCAAACGTAGGATTTTAATTCAATTACTGCATTATGTGGGAATTGGACTCAATTCCCACGTTATATTACCACATCCAAACGACCCAAATTCAAAACACTACCACCTATGAAAACATAACCAGCATGAATAACATAGCCAGGACATCAAAACAACGTAGGAGCAAAGTCTATGAAACCGTACCGGAAAAGTCAGCGGTAGGATATTTTATGGCAAAACTGTGGTTTAACCGTAATTCAACCGTTAGTACAGTTAAATACCGCATATCGGTTTAGCCTCCGATACTGGTATTTTGTAGTTGAACCGCCGGTACGGTACGGTTTCATGGACCATGCGTAGGAGAAGACTACATACTGCAAAATCCAATGCAAACACTACTACATCCGAAGAGTGTTTGATTTTATTTTATGACTTTTTTAACGAACTAAATTAAGTTACTCTCTACTCCTATGGAGATTCGGTGAGAGCTCAAATTACTATTCATATGACTACTTTGTAGAGAAAAATGATAAACTCAATATGTGCATCAGAATTTTGGTTTTGGGAAGCTCTTGCTTCATCTTTGTTTCTCCTATTTATAGACATCATGTGAATCCACTTTTGTAACTAATCCTCCTGCTACATTGCTACTTTATTAGCTTGTTTGATGCCCTAACGCCCCTTGCTTTCATGTAGACCACTTGAAACCTAAACAACTTGAAGACTTCAAAACAAGCTTGATGATTAGTCTACGTGTCACGAAGGTGTCTGGCTTGATGACTTGTATTTGTATCTTTCTTATACTGATTTGGAGTCTTCATGCCCGATGCGGACGTGATAAGATATTGAACGTATTGATGTTTAAGATATAATGAAGTATCATGTCGAGCACCTAATAGGATGTGATGATTGACACCTAGGTTTCCAAGATGAACCATCTTGCCAACATCATGTTGGTAGGGTGTCAAGCTCGATTCCAAGTGTCCAAGATGGAACATGATGATGTATTGCTTAGGGCCTTCACTATATAGATGGTAGGATGTCATGTTTCACACCTAGATAGTTTAGCATGCTTCACATTTGAGGTGTATATGCCCGACACCTTAAGAGCTCTTGATGGGCTTGTTGAATAAATATAATGTTTGTCACCAATCTATCATGCTTGACGACTTGGGGCTGAGAGGAGGAGGTATGTGTGCTAACCCCCTTGGATTGTTCCATCTAATGCTTGAAACCTAGGTGTTTGATGGGTTGGGACAAGGGTAATAATGAACGCGCCTTTGGATGATATCATGGTTGGAGGTAAGCGACGAGGGATTGGACAAGGGGGGTTGATGGTTGTGACTACGTTGAGTAGGTGGAGAACCAACCCCCTAGGGCGATATCATCTTGATAGGTCTCCAACGATGGGGGTGATGATGAACACACACTAACCCCCTAGTATGACACCAAGGATGGTCCAAAAGTCTATCGCTTAGCCCAATTGCTAATGACATGTATTACAGTTGTTTTGATGGCAAGCGATAATGCTTATGCGCGATCTAGCTTTAAATTTATAAGTCGATGCACACTCTCTATTAAATCCTAACAAAGCAAAGTATAACCTAGATAGGGTTGTAGTAAAGTGGTTAGGTCGTATTACAAGGGATCCCTAAGCTTACTATTATTTCACTTTGAATTACTATCTAATCAAATTGGAAGTTGGGTGAAAATTCTAATCTAATATACTCCTACATGCAAAAATAAATAACCAACCAAGTGGTTGGGAGACCACTAGAAATGAGATGGTTGCCTAGGGTCGAATCCTGCTAGTTATGGTTGTCAAGTAGGACTAAGATAATGTGGAGAGTGAGCTCGTTTCCATGGGCTTTCGTGGTTATCCACACACCTCCTAGTACACCTCCCCTAGACCCATATAAAGTCACATCAATCTAGGCTATCGTATCTGGGGCACTAAGCTCGTAACTCCTTTCAATGGATACTATCCATCGTCCACACCGAAGTTTTATCCCGAGTTTTATCTAGGAAGGCTACCTATGGCATGGGTTCGGTCGCCTCGGCCACCATAGATCTCTATTCATACATCTAACCTCAATTTGCTTGATGGCGCATACCCGTCTAACTCTAAAACTCCAAACCCAGCATAAAGCGTAAAGTAGGCTAGTAGAGAAGATTATGGCATCCTTCCCAAACACAAAAAAAAAAGCTAGAATTCCATTCAAATCAACTAGATAAACACATTCATACATAACCCATTCATACACAACCTATAAACTGGGGTTCATTTTTACTAAATAACCATTAGAGATTCAAGTCATTTGAGAGAAGAAGAAAACACAAACTAGAAGAAGGGGGTGATGGAATCAAGCTTCTTCTCCTTGCTTGCACCTTCTCTTTGCTCCTTGGGTTGATTGGATCTTCAATGAAGCTCTCCCAAGGTATTTCCCTCTCTAAACACTCCAAAACCCTAACTTTCTCACTCTAGGGCGACTCTCCCTTTTCTCTCCAGCATCTCCACTATTTATAGGCGTTGGAAATCTCGGGCTAGTTCGCGGCCTAAAGACAGAAGATTGCGGCTGCAAACTTAAGTTTCGCATGTGCGATCTTTTTCCTCCGTCTAGATCAACGTTGCCCGTGAAGAGAGAGTGGGGAAACTCTCTATTCTTCCAGCGACGCCTCCTTCCAGACTTCACGATCAAAATGCCCCACTTCGCAGTCGGGATCTTTCGCCCTTGGCCCGCAATCGATCTCCTAGCAATCTTCGCGGTCATCTTCTCGGTCGGGAACTTGAGCCCTTAACCTGCGATTTTTGCCTTGTCTTTGCTTTTATGCTTCCCAATCGTTCTCGGATAAACTCCAATCGATTCCCGATCAAGCCCAAATGAATATAAGACCTGAAATTTCATCACAAACACTTGGGAAAGCATAAAATACGACAAGGTGGGGTCGATTCCCCTATGAAAACCTTCATATCAAGAATACCTATGCCAAAATGCATGTTTTGCAAATACGAACAAAACACGGTGATTTAACATGAACCTGGAGGTCTTAGGTTCGAATCCCTTCAGTAGAATCTAATAACAATAAAGTAACATATATCACCCTTATCTAAAAAAAGGTTGTCAGTTAAAGTGAGTAATGTAACAAATATATCGTATCACAATTAAATTTTTCAAAATAGGCGTCCCATATCAAGATGTAAGAGACTCAACAGTGAAAAATTTCTTGTTGTCGGAATAGTTCGTCATTTAAAGTGAATAATGTGACAAATATTTCGTGTCACAATTAAGTTTGTCAAACTAGGCATCCCATATCGGAATGTAAGAGACACAAAAGTGACAAATTATATCGTCAGAGTAGCTTTTGTCATATTCTTCCTCAAAAATTCATGCATAGGAATTTGGCTCTCCCGTAAATCCCCCTCCCCCGCCCCCTATTCTAAATTTTGGCTCGTTAAATATTTGGCTCTACAATTCCAATAATTTCGGCCTTCCTGCTAAGTATTACCGCTCTAGCCAAAGTGCCAAACTCACACTCTCCGTTCCAAATAAAACAAAAGGCTAAAAAGCAGTGTTTTCAAAACTGGACAGGTCTGAGATCCAGTTTAGCGAAAGATTTAAGTTTTATCGGATAACAGGTGATTAACAAGTGAAAAGTCGGTCATAAAACCGTTGATATACAAATTTTTTCAGATAAATAATGACTTCATGGTACATCTACTAATTGCTACTAATTTTGAAATTAATAATAATATATCCAACATATTCAATAATATCATTTAAGATTATAAAGTTAGATTTACCCCATTTTTTTGGGAATCTGCATTTTATTAATTAAGGTGGCCCAACGACCCCCAAAATTGAAAACGGTGACATAATTTCTCGCTCTCCCTCTCTAATTACTTCTTGACCAAACCCTCTCTAGTTACCTCTCTAATTTCTCATTTTTTTGATCACCACCAACCCCATCACTGCTTTTCTGCTGCTTCACGGCTCCCAACTCTTTGAGGGCTCAAACTCGATTCTTCTTCCCCCGCTCCAATCCCCTGCACCATCTCCTCCTGCCTCCGTCGCTGCTCATCTAGGCTCTAGCGCCTAGTCCGCGCTACTACTTTTGAGACGCTCGCTCCTGCCAATATTTTTGGTTGATAAAGTCAACGCGATGGCTCCAAAACCGCAAGCCTGAGTGAGGCGGTTCTCCAGATTAATCGATTCCATGTTCTTTCAAGTTTGTTATGGGGTTTTGTTGGCGGAATTTTTTTTTATTTAGTGGTGGTGATATTACCGGCCTCTAAATCGTATAATAAGCTTCTTTTTGTGTTTCATTCGATTTTCTGTGCTTTAGGCTGTAGATTGATGTTGGAGAGGACCTGGAATGGAAGGCGACTAGGCCAAAGACTATCTATTTTATTTTCAGTCCATGAAATAGTTAACAGAGTTGCAGCGGATTATATGCAAGAGATGGGGAAGAAAACTTATGAAGTGAACGTCTTTTAATGGAGGTATTGGTTTATGTTGTTTTATGCATTAACTTCGGGAAATTGTGTGTCTGATTTTGAAAGTTAAGCTCAAATTTACCACGAAAGGAGTAAGGAAAGAGATTGGTCTCTCAATTAGAAAAGGAGTGGTGAATGGTTACAGATCTAGACTTTCGAGCAATTGTGTGTCGATCGTATACAATTGCGTGAGGTTTAGAGTTTCTTTAGACCTAGATCTAGACTTCCAAATTATCATTATAGAGGGGTTTGGTTTAGTTTTTGATCTTTCTGCCTCGTGTTCTTTTATGGAACAATGTATGATCTTGTTTTGCTTAAAGCCATGTGCGAAAGCTGCAGTAGCTACCTGCAGGCTCTTTTGGGTGAAGGCATTCTAGTGGAGGAGGTTTTTGAAGATGGATTTGGGCAAATAGTTGTAAGGTAAATTGGTTTGAATTATAAAGGCAACAGTGTTATTCATTGTGGAAATCTCCCCTTCTCGGCTGAAGCTATTTCTCTTTGTCGTTAGACTTGTCTCTCTGCCCTTTGATTTACAGTTTAATTGTAAAAAAGGAATCCCTTTTACAGGTTTGCTTAAGCATGCAGCAATGTGGATCCACGTATTCATAATTGTGTTATGCTATTTGTTCAGTTGCTTCACAGTCTTATTTTGCACTTAGTGGGAACCACCATGTAGCATATGCTTCTGCATTACTATTATTCCGCTTGAGCATCTGTGACATGTTCTTCTTGAGTGGATTGCAGTTTGGCTGGATTGTTCTTTCCTTGCTGCAGATAGTATCGGTAATGGAATAGTTGACTGAGGTGGCTACCACATCTTGCCCGTACTCGGGCTGAAGTAGGATAGTTTTGGGATTGAATTTGGAGTTATTCTATCTAACTTTCAGAGTGTTATGGGCTCTCTTTATTTAGACATATATGCAATCAGAGTTTCTCATTTTCTTGCACTTGTTGTCACTAGACAGATTTGAGAGATACCATTTCTCCTGTAAATAAAGTTGGCATATTTTTTAATAAAGGAACTCAAGGATGTCCCGACTCAGTTAGGGCTTTCAAAACAAGGGGAAAAGCAGGTTAGGTTCATGATCATTCTTCGTACTGAGTTTTGGCATTCGTTTCTAATGAGCATTAATTGTTCTTGATTATGCTGTTGTTTCTTTGTTTCAGTTAATTGTACTCTGCAGGACCTTGTTGATCGCATATTGAATGTCCTGCTCGATGCGCAAGGTAAAATGCTTCCCCACTGTTGCATACTCACATCTTTGTTTCCAGTCTTCTCGTACTTTACCTTCTGTGGTTGCCATTGTGACTTTTGGTTCATTTTGGTTGTTGATGAGCATTTTGGTTGTTGATGAGCATTAGTATTTGTCTGTAGAATGTTACAGTAGCTGTTTTTTGAAACCATGGTCTCAAAGGGAAAGTACCTGCTCAATAAGATTAGTTACACAAAACTGAATGGAAATTGAACTATATTAGTCTTACTACTGTCACACTAACATGTGTTGTCATTTGCAGGCTTTATTATTCTTATAATGCTTGAAATATAATGCTTGTCGAGAGCTACAGGGATTGGATGCTCTTGTTTTGCTTAAAGTCATGTGCGAAAGCTGCAACACCTACCTTCAGGTACGAGTGTTTGACGCCTCAACCACTGATTTAGGCTATTAATAAGTAGATTAGGGCCCATCTCATAATAGTTTCATCTTGATCTTTTAGTTCTATGTATCTCTGTAGCAAACCTATAGGTTTTGGGGTTAATAATCCTTTCAATTTGATGTAGGTTTTCTCTACAGATTATATGAACATATAAGCGGCAACAGCAGTGACATCAATAGGCCACCGTTGCCGAGGGATCCAAAATTCCCAAATTAGTTTATTTAGGACACCAAAAATAGTTAGATATGTAACTAGTATTTGTTTGATCGGAGTTTCATGCTACAAGAATATTAATTTTTTCAACTATATGTTATTCGGTATATTGATGAATAAATCATATTGGTCACAAATCACAATATGCAGTTATGACAAAGTACGTTCATCCTAATATACAGTTATGACAAAATATATTCGTCGCAGTTATGACAATTTTTTTTTTTGCATTTATGACAAAATTTGTTCTTCACAATTATGTGATGTCAAAATAAAATGGTGTAATATGGGGTTAATGCCACATTTGGTCACTGTGATTACTAAATTGTGTCATGTTTAGTCATTATAAAAAATTAATATCAAATTTGGTCGCTCTAAGTACTGAAACAGATCACATTCCGTTAGTCTTCGTCCAACTCTGTTAAGGGAGTCCGTTATGTGCTGACGTGGCTAACGGGAGCACCTAGTCAGCACCGTTTTGGGTCAGAAATGGTCAAACCCGACTCGCCACATCACTAAACCCGCCATGTCATACACCCAACCCGAACCAAAACCAAATCCTAGCCCACTTAACAAAACAAGATTGGAAAATCGATCGGGTTAATGGCCATTTCAGACCAAAACCCTTTCTCCTTCCTCGAATCAATTCCCCCACCAAAAAAAATCCCCAAATTCATCATAAAATCTCCTTCAAATGATCTTGGATCTTCTGCACTCATACAAAGAGATTGATTAAGGGATGTGGAGAGTGAGGTTCGTCCTCTCGTTCAACAAACATGGAAGATGACAGGAGGGAAGAAGTAGATGAAGAGAGACCGGACTTCATAGTGAGTAGTCCAGATGTCGACGTCGAGAGCTCTCTGGTACTGATCCAACATCACTGTGATTCTGCGCTACCAACCAAACCACACAAACAAAAACAAAAGCAAAAATCCGACCTCAGCTCAATGAGATTGAAAAGTTGTTCGATCCAATCTTGGATTGAAACTTCTGAGACAAAGACGAAGACTGATAAACTCCAATTCAGCTTGCTCTCATCTGGAATCGGGAATCTAGGGTTTCGGAGAGAGGAAGGGAGAGATTGAATGAAAGTAGAGGTGAGGTAGACTGACGTGGCGGCGGGGTTGATGAACTCGTGGAGTTTGCCGGTGTTGGAGACTTTGGCGTCGCAGAGGATGATGAGTTCGTTGGCCTTCTTGAAGAGCCCTTTGCGGCGCTTGGAGTAAGTCACCTGCCAGTTCATCGAGTTCTCGATCCTCTTGATCTGGATCTTCCCTTGAGCTATCGCCAGCTTGCTTCAATCGAACGTACGTCCTTCTAGGGATTCCGGTTTTTGACGAACTTAGGGATTTATTTGTGGGGGTTTGATTCAAGAAAGGAGCAAAACGAGGAAGGAGAAAGGGTTTTGGTCTGAAATGGTCACTAACTCGATCGATTTTCCAATCTTGTTTTGTTAAGTGGGTTTGGTTTTGGGTCGGGTCGGGTTGGGTTAGTGGGTTGGGTTGGGTGTATAACATGGCAGGTTTAATGATGTGACGGGTCGATTTTGACCATTTTGGCCCAAAATGGTGCTGATTAGGCGCTCCCGTTAGCCACATCAGCACATAACGGACTTCATTAACTGAGTTGGACGTAGACTAACGGGGAGTGACTAAATGTGACCTGTTTCAGTAATTAGAGTGACCAAATTTGACATAATTTTTTTTCTAGTGACCCAACATGACATAATTTAGTATTCACAGTGACCAAATGTGGCATTAAACTGTGTAATATGACAAACAATTTCTGTCAAAATAAGCAAATTATGACAAAAGTAATGATAAAAATATGTCGTCATAACGTCTCTGTTTGTCACAATAGACTACCCAGAACCTCAGCTATACTGAAAGCAAATGTGACAACCTTGTTTAAACTTTTGTCACATTTGACCTATCCCGACGGAGATAAAATGACAAACCATTGTGACAACAACTTTTGTCATATTATACAAAATATGACAAAATGGGTATCTAATATGACAAAATTGCCTCGTCATAATAGGCCGAATTTGTTGTAGTGCAAGTTCGTAAAATCGTAATCAATTGTTCATAAATTTTTTGAAAGATTAAAAAATGGAGAGAGAAAATTGAGTTTCTAGATGATGTTAATTTCATCATTCGATATTGACTGTCTAGATCCGACTAATTACAAACATGCGACAACTACCTGTCGTTGTACTCGTTGCCACGTTGTGGATTCCTAACACGTTGCTTAACCCCCTAGGCAAGGCATTTTCAGTGTAGGCTAGCTCCCAGGCATGCCTAAACTCGACAACTATGTGTCGTCATACTCTGTCGCCACGTTGGGGATTCTAACTCGTTGTGACTTCTGAGATCTCTTGGCGAGACATTTTAGCATTGTCTAACGACTAATCAAAAGCCCAAATGTAAGTTTAAACACGCCTTGGTGGTATGATTTTTTTAGATGGACTTGACTTGTTGGTACACAAAAATAAGATAGAGAATCAAATACTAAGTTCCACAATAATATATTAATTTGAATCCGAATTAAAGAAGACAATACCTCCACGGGTGTCAAATTCAACTTGATGACAGAGGACATCAGGACAAGCTCTAACAATGAGTTGCGAGTTAAACATCTATAATATATTTAAAGCAGATTCATGGGTTGGATTGAGTAATTTCAAATTTTGTGGTACGAGAGTAATTCTAGGAATGTTATTTTTTTCATTTCACTCAATTCATCTTTATATATTAAAAATGTCATCATTGGGATTTGCACCCTGGTAAAATAATTGAAGACAAAACATTGTAACCAACTAAGTTACATTATATTCATTGTTATTTATTTGATTAAACTCTAGAATATGTTTGGTGATGAGTGTAAGTGGGCACCAGGCCGGCCCGCCTACGAGCTAGCACGACACGGCACGAGCAGAGACATGAAATATATAGGCCATCCCGGCACGAGGTGGATCTTGTCGGGCCTAATATTTTCCAGATCTTATTGAGTATAAGAACGGACATGGGACGAAAATAATATTTATTTGATATAAAATTAATATATAAAGAATTAATAATCTACAAAGGATATAAAGGCAAAACATGGGTTGGCTTTTCATGGATTCAAATTTCCAGCCACCAGAGAGCTTTCCGGACGGGCAACCATGTCATACATGTAGTTCATTTCACCATTTTTTATGTGTCAATAAATTTGTAGGCCCAGATAAGATAAACCGCATTATACATTTTGATTCTTCATTTAAATAAAATAGTTTGAAGAATGAACAAACTCTATACTCACTTTGTAGATTGAATTAATTTTGGCTTTATCATTTACAATAAATGGTACATTTATAATATCGTGATGTTTGAAATCTTTTCTATATTGTTTAGAAGTATACTCATTATTTGTCTCATTAGTGCAACTAGGTTGAAATATAAGATTTCATCTACCTACTAGCTAGAAAGAAACCGATATGTCAAATTACCCCTCGCCGGATTGAATTGAATGGTCCTCTGTGGCATATGTAGCTTTAGATTCGGTTCCTATGTTTCGTGGTTTTGGTTCCTTCTCAATCAATTCTCACATCCAACTTATTGGCCCGATAATTGTTTTCTTGTGTTTGGTTATCACGATGGTGGAATGACAATCGCTTTAACTTGGTTCAATTGGTTCGGGTTATGCAACAGACGTGAACATTACTAGTATGATCAGTATGATCGATTTGTGATATCTAAACAAAATAACGCGTTTTAGTGAATTTAATTAATAAAAACTTAATTTTTATTTATTTGTGAATTTAAAAGTAAAATATTTGTGTTATTTGTTAAATTCAAGTGTAAACATTTAGATACTGATGTTAAATGTTGTATTTAAATTTGAGTATTTGTTATCTAACTTTGAATGTCGTATTTTATTTAAATATTAATATAGAATGTAGGTAAATTGTATTCAAAAATATTATTTACATGATTATAATCATTTGAAGGATGTTCATGATTTTTCATATTTCTACATATTTTGTTAAACTGACATGAATTGATACAAACCGATTTACCATTGGTCGAACCATTCTACTTGCTAAACCTCGACAACCTTATTCCTACCCGAAATTCTATCCCCCCCCCCCTCAATCCTCTCATTTGTCGTAAGCTTCATGGGTTTTGGTCATCTGTTTGGAGACTATAGAAAGGAACTGGAATTGGTATTGATATTGATATTTTCCAACAAAATAATTCATCATCTCAATTAGGTATTCGTGTATTTGGCAATTGAAAATTTAGAGTAAGGAAAATTATGTTGGATATATTGTTTGAACCATTGTACGTAGGCAATAAAAAATATTCCCAAACTAGGCCTTTAACCTTCTTTATGCATCCTTCAGTAGTACTTCTGCCCATTTATCAATAACAGACCATGTCCATACTCTATACGTTTTTCCCCCGCTAATTAGTAATTATTCTATTTTCTTACATTACTAAATCTATTTCAATTATAGGGAAGCCTCGCTATCTAGATTTATGTCTTTTGGGTAACTTTGGTATGGCTGGAGTTTACATTTTGGAGTTTTATTTACTTTTGGGAAGAGAATTGTATGCACTTACAAGTTATAATAGACACTCTTGTTCATTCATTATTATGACAGATTTAGTTGGTGAAGTTCACCATACACAACCAACCTCTCAACTTTGTGCATGGTAAGTTCTTTCATAAATAGATTATGTCTTCAACAATTACCTAGAAGCGAAATTACGGGCATTACTACAAAAGAAAAACAATCATCCCAAAATAATCTGAAATTACAGGAACATGAAATTCGTGAATGTTCAATTTGCGGTTGTACGACTACCTTGAAGCACAAAGGGGATCAGATTAGGAGCTAAAGACAGAGGTTTGTATGGTCGTTGTTTTATGCGATTTGCAGCAAATGGGTTATGTAGCCAAATGGAAACTCAAGTTTGTAGTTTTTTTGCTATGGATTCTCAGATTGGTGAGAATGAAGAGATAGAATTTGAAAGAATCACTGGAGAACCCGGGGGAGATAAAGTAAAACTATTGAGAATCTAAGATAGGATTAGAAACCAGAAGGAAGTCGATTGATTGTTGGTACCTGAATGACGAGTACACGCTTCGACCTTGGTCCCACTTCCCTGGTCATTAAATCTGGTGGCTCAAGTATTGTCACATTCTTTAATGGGCTGAAAATCAATCAGACTGTTGGATTGGTGGCTCAAGTATTTATGTCCTTTTACTTTTTTCCGTTCATATCATATAACATTTTTTCCACACATTAGAGGTGTTATTGCTTATTATTGTTGTTAGTAAAATTACAAATAAATTCTTTTAATTCATCTTCATAATAAATATTGAGTGGCTCTATCCGCATGTCAAGTTTAATTTCGGGTTCTCTTAGAAACACTTCCATACAACAATTTTTAGATAAAACTTCCATAGGTATTATTAAACACATTTTTTGGGCTAAAATTTTGTACACTCACCATTTTATTACAAATGTTATCAAAAGCAATTAATTATTTTCAATTGGATTTATATTTCAACATTTATCAAATGATACGATTATATTGGGCGGGCCGGATACTAGTAATATATAGTATAGTTTTGTGTAATTTTCAACATTTTACATTTCCTCTTTTGAGAGTAAAAGTAAGAGACCCATTTTCGTAATTTACACATCTTCTAATTTTTTATTGTTATTTTGTTTCTCTTTCACAAGATCTAACGAGCAAAAAAAGAGATAGTTTGCTTTCTTATTTATTTTTCTTTTTTCAATCTTCTAACCAAATCATGACACATGGTATTTTCTCTCTCATCTTTCTCTAAGTATCCTATTATTTTTAATTGATTTGTTTCTTTTGAAGTTAAATTTCAAATTCAGGCTTCCTCTCTTCTCTCTTCTCTCTTCTCTCTCTTCCTTTTCTTTGAATTCCCTTCGATGGCGGCTTCGCAATCGGCTGAGGCCCAATCGGAGGAGGATCCTCCGGTGAGCAATTCTACTTGGGCTTCGCTTTTCTCGGTTGGCCCGGCGAATAGGATGAAGTTCCGTTCTCCTGAGCGGAAGAATGATGGATTTAGGCTTCCGAGTGAGGTAAAAAAAAGAGGGAAAGAACGATGGAAGGACAGTCTTATCGCTCAATTTATGGGTCCGCCGAAGCCAGTGGCGCTTCAGTAGTGGGCAACTATTCTCTGGGGGAGGGATGAGATAGTTCGAGTTTCCAAGTT